ATCCATTTTGAATGGTATGTAGATCTAAACATGAAGGAGAAAACAATACAACTTTTAAAGGAAAATGTAGGAAAATATCTTCAGGACTTTGGGGTAGGCAAAGAGTTCCCATCTATGACTCAAAAAAGCATTAACTGTAAGGGAAAAAATTGATCAGTTGAGCTACATTAAACTTAATAACCTCTGTTTGCCAAAGACACCAATAAGAAAATGAATAGGCAAGCTCTAGAATGGAAAAAGATATTTGTGATACATATATCTGATTCATATCCAGAATATATAAATACTTACAAAAACATACACTAGAAAACGAGGCTGGGCACAGTGGCTCACGCCTGTAATCCCAGCACTTTGAGAGGCTGAGGTGGGTGGATTGCTTAAGCTAAGGAGTTGGAGACCAGCCTGGGCAACATGACGAAACCCTGTCCCTACAAAAATTTCAAAAATTAGCCAAGGCAGGGTGGTGCATGCCTGTAGTCCCAGCTACTTGGGAGGCTGAGGCAGGAGGATCACTTGAGTCTGGGAGGCTGCAATGAGACATGAATCACGCCACTGCACTCCAGGCTGGGCGAGAGAAAGACCCTGTCTCAAAAAAAAAAAAAAAGAAGAAGAAGAAAAGAAAAAGAAAACTGAGCATAAGACTTGAATAGACACCTCACAGAAGCAGATCTCTAATTGGCCAATAAACCCATGAGAAGGTGTTCAATGATATTAATCATCATGAGAATGGAAAATAAAACTACAGTGCAGTATCACTACATGCCCCCCAAAATGACTAAAATAACAAATAATACCAAGGGTTAGCAAGAATATGGAGCACTTGGAATTTTCACATGCTGCTGATAGGAATGCAAATTGGTACAACTTTGGAACTATGCTTGGTAGTATATACTATAGCTGGACATATACATATCCCATGACTCAGCACTTGCACTCTGAGGTATGGAACGATGTCCACTGAAAGATATGCACAAAAATGTTCACGACATTACTATTTGTATTAGCCCAAATGAAACAACTCACATGACTAATACAGTAGAAAGAGTAAATGGTATATTCATACCATGAGATACTATACAGCAATGAGAATGAAAGTTTGAAAACAGGTAAAATTGAATATAATGTCAAATCAAGATAATGGTTATCCTTGTTGTGGGGGAGGAAATCACCTGATGGGGACAGGAGGGGGATCCCCTTCTGGGATGCTGACAATGTTCTGGTTTTTCATCTGGGTGCTGGTTAGATATAGATGTTCAGTTATGAAAATTTGTTGGTTGTGTGCTTATGATTTGCGTGATTTTGTATATTTGTTATACTTTAATTAAAATGTTTATATTTGTAAAAGGCTAAAGCCAATCTATGTCTTAGAAGTCAAGATAGTGGATAACTTTTGAAAAAAGACGGATAATGATTAAGAAAAAGAACAAGGAACTACTAGGATGCTAGCAATATTCTATATTTTGATCTAAGTGGAGGTTATGCAATTGTGAGAATTCATTGAGCTCATACACTTGTGATTTGTCTGCTTTTAATTGTTATAAGAAAATGTTGTACTAAAAATGTTATGCTATGAGAAAAATTTTTATTTTAAAATAAAATGTAATTTATGTTAGGTTGTTATAGCTTGTGATCTTGACATAGTGACTTCAACATATTACATAGTTGGGGAAAAAGCATTTTTGTTATTGATAATGGTGTAGACTACACAAGTAAGTGATAAGCCTACAATCCTGTAATATTTCAAGATTTAAAAATCATCAGTAACCATTTAAGTCTGGCACTGGGAAGTCACCTCATGGCAGCTCATATATAAGCCCACATTTGTTGCTTATTCTCAATGTATCTCAATATCCTTTCAGAAGAATAAAATTCTGACCCTTTAAACTCAAAATAAAGTCTGGCCATTTTTTCTAGGTACTGTAAGGCTTTAATACTTCCCTCCATGACAGTGAACAAGTAAGATTAACACAATTCAATGAGATGAGTCATTAACTCTTGTACTCAGAACTTGGGCTGCTATAACATCACTTTAAAAACATCATGTTGTGGCTTTGATACACAATGCACAAAGAGGCAAGGCATGGTGGCTGACTCCTATAATCCTAACACTTTGGGAGGAAGAGGCAGCCAAATCGCTTGAGCTCAGGAGTTCAAGACCAGCCTGGGAAACATGACAAAACCCCATCTTTACTACAAATTTAACAATTAGCTGGGTGTGGTGGAACGTGCCTGTAGTCCTGGCTACTTAGGAGACTGAGGTGGGAGAATCACTTGAGCCTGGGGGGCAGAGGTTGCAGTGAGCCGTGATTGCACCACTGCACTCCAGCCTGGGCAACAGAGCAAGAAACTGTCTCAAACAAACAAAAAAAGTTGTGGGTTGCCACAGCAACTGTAATATGGAATAACATTTTGATTACTTCTGCTTGTAATCACTCTAATTCCTCTATATTTCATGCCAGTATGTTTGATCAGGGATTACTGAGAAATATTGAATTTTTATACATGTAAGTTGTCAGCGCATAATGTTGTGGTCATATGCTTACATTTAAGTATGCCATTGTTTTAAGAATAACCCTGTTTTAAAAATACTTTTGACCTTTATCTCAGAAATTTTTTTTTTTTTTTTTGAGACAGAGGCTCTGTCACGCAGGCTAGAGTGCAGTGGTGCAATCTCCACTCACTGCAACCTCCTCCTCACGGTTCAAGCAATTCTCCTGCCTCAGCCTCCTGAGTAACTGGGACTACAGGCATCCACCACCATGCCTGGCTAATTTTTTGTATTTTTAGTAGAGACAGTGTTTCACCGTATTAGCCAGGATGGTCTGGATCTCCTGACCTCGTGATCCACCCACCTCAGCTTCCCAAAGTGCTAGGATTACAGGCGTGAGCCACTGGACCCGGCCAGAAAATATTTCTAAGCAAGCAGCAAATAACACTTATTTTCATCTGCAGCATCATAGTTAGCTAAGTGACTTTAGGGTACCTTGATACAATATTCCATTATAGATGTAGAAAACAAGCTAGAATGACAGAAGATAATACATTATTTGCGATCACAAAATAAATCAAGGCAGAACTGTTACTGGAATTGTACTCAGGATGAGCCATTCACCAGTTATTATTTTCCTGACACGTATGCAATGATGCTATGGCCTGATTACTAGAGCACAGTTCAGTAGAACGTGCATGTCTCTATGCACATTTGACCACATTTCCAAGTCCTACATACTCATCTGTGTGTCTGCCAAACCGAAATGTCTATAGGAGTACCTCCCAGAAACTTTTTTTTTTTTTGAGACGGAGTTTCACTCTGCCGCCTAGGCTGAAGTGTGGTGGCGCAATCTCGGCTTACTGCAGCCTCCACCTCCTGGGTTCAAGCGATTCTCCTGCCTCAGCATCTCGAGTAGCTGGGACTACAGGCGCCCGCCACCACACCCGGCTAATATTTTGTATTATTAATAGAGATGGGGTTTCACCATGTTGACCAGGCTGGTCTCAAACTCCTGACCTCAGGTGACCCACCTGTCTTGGCCTCCCAGAGTGCTGAGATTACAGACGCCTAGCCTCACCAGAGACTTTAAATCAAGCTTGAGCAACCCACAGCCCACAGCCACATGGAGCACAGGATGACTTTGAATACCACCCAACACAAATTCGTAAACTTTCATAAAACATTATGAGTTTTTTTATTTTTTTATTTTTATTTTATTTTATTTTTAGCTCATCATCTTTCATTAGTGTTAGTGTATTTTACATGTGGCCCAAGACAATTCTTATTCTTCCAATGTGGCCCAGGGAAGCCAAACGGTTGGACACCCCTGCTTTAAATGTTCTGCTCATCTATTCTGTCTTCCAGTCAAATCAATATTCATCAACACCTTCCTGTATGCAAAGCACAGCATTAGCTACTATACAAAATACCAAAAAAAGTGAGAAATGTGACCGCACTCTCAGAATTCACAATGTAATATTCTCTTGTGTGAGCACATTATTAGTGAAAAAAAACAAAAAACAAAATAAGTGGCTCTAGAATACCCATTTTTTTTTCCAAAAAGTTAAGCTTCTCACACTACTTCTATTTCAGGATGGAGAAACTTAATGCCTAACGGAGCATCTGACTTATTTGTTTCATTTTTTTCTCCTCAACAAACAGTTTCTAACGCTTACTTACAAAATTGAATTCTTCTTTCTCATTTTTTCACCTTCATTTACAGCAGTTTTTCCTCTCCCTTTTCCCACTTCCCATTAGCTCTTTTCCATAGGTGAATTCCATAAATTTAATATTTTATTAATTGTTAATTGTTGATAATGAGAAGAATATAGCAAGTTACCATTGATTCATATGTATACCTGAAGTCAGAAATCATTTCGATAATATATGAAGAATATTTAGTCAATATAATTTTAGCATGATTAAACAATTAGCAGTGTGAATAAGAAATCACTCCCAAACCTTTCAGACAGCTCTGACTCATCATTACATAATGCTCACATGGATGAGTGTTCGAGAAATTGTTTGAATTTATAAGAAAGAGTAGCTGAGTGTTTCTACTTTAATATGTCTGTGATGACAAGAAATTTTCACTCAATCAAATTTTACTAATTTGGGATGGAATCTCATAATACAAAGATGAAATGGATTTTTCGCAAGCACACAGGAAGTCAGTAAGGAGTTCTTGGCCATCCAAAAGTCTCTAAGTCCTGAGACAGATTTTTATATACTGGTTAAAAGCATAGGCTTTTGCTACAAGATGGCCTGGGCTGGTCCCCAGCTTCCTCTGTCCCTCAGTTTCCACATCTGTAAAGGCAGAATGAATAATAGTCCTACCTGAAATTAATTAATATATTTGAACTAGTTAGAACAGTACCTGGCACATTATAAGCACTGAACATGTTAGTTATTCTTTGCATTATTTGAGAATGACATTGAACCAAAGAAACTAAGACTTTGGTAAATGAAATTTTAAACAAACATAAAATGAATGGAGGTGGAGACTCACCCATGTTGCTGCACTTGCTTTTGTATTTCTACTGCATGTATGTTGTCAGCTGAGTACCCTGCAATCTTGTTTTGGCCTCATATGGCACACTAGCTGCTCCTTGTCCAGTTGTTTTATCTCGGCGTCTTCTTTAACAGTGAGATATGCATTGGTGTGGACACAGAAGAGGATGCGAGTGGGAGGCATGGCACCCTTCACTTCTCAATACCATTCCCAGTGATTCCCTCAGAAAGACAGAGACAATGACAATATCATTTTCTACCTTCATCCTGCCACTTACTCCAGCCTTTGCTTCTGACTCTGTCCCTGCTGCCAAGCTTTCAGCTTTGTCCTAGATTCAGGACTCCAGCCCTCTAACCCTGAAAAGTGTAATAAATGCTAACTGGCTTCTTAGCTAATGTAATTAAATCATTGGCACCCCATCCATTTTCTTAAAATAGTAGATTACTTTCTCTCCTACTTCCAAGCACTGTTTCTTAGCTAATTTGACTTGTCATCATCCTATCCATTTACTTAAAAATAGAAAATTGTTTTCTACCCTTTTTCACTTCCTTTCCAATCCTATATGAACTCAAGTGATTATAAAACATAATTGTTTCTTTCTTTCCTCTAGTCCCACCAGAGATTTTAATCTAATATGGAGCATCTTCAGACCATCAGGAATGCCCCTTCTCTGGCTTTCCCCTAAAAATACCTGAAGCATGTTTTCGGTCATCTGGTCCTTGACCTTTGCTTTTGGGATAAGGCATGTTTCTGCAGGATGAGTACTGGGAGGATGTCTTAGGTGGGGACAACTGCCAACTTTGAAGCTGTCTTTTCACTGATTCAACAAACACTGTTGCATTCTTGTGATCAATATCACAACTCAGATCAAAAAATACAATTTTCTCCATAAATAAAAACTCTCCCCAAATTGCTTGTTACCATATATGAACTATTTCTGTTCTGTTTTAAAGCCCATTTATGTTTTGTTTATGTACTAGATCCTAATTCCTCTCACCCAGTAAAGGACATTGCTCCAATAGTTCCTGCTTCCTAGCCCAATTTTTCACCCTTCACTAAATCATTTCCATCAGCCTACTACAATGCCATTATTTGTAGCATCTGTAATAAAATGAACAAAAAACTCTTTTTTTTTACTACTTCCCCCTCTATCTACTGCCCAATTTTTGATAGCTGAACTTCTTAATAGCCATCTGTAAATTCTGTCCTCAACTTTTCCCTTACACTGTCTTGAACTGACACCAATAAGGCTTTTGCCCAGATGACTCCACCAAAACTATTATCAACGCCACACCAAGTGTCCTCCATGTTGATCATTCCAATGGTCAATCCTTAGTCCTCATCTTATCTGACCAGCAGCATTTTATGACACTGATCATTCCCTCCTCCTTGTTGCACCCTCTACACTTGGCTGCCAGGATAGCACACCCTCTTGGTTTTCTTCTGTTTCTTCTCAGTATCTGGCTGATTTGGCCTTTACTGTCTAACCTCTCAGTGTTGGAATGCCCAGGCTCTGTCTTGAGCCTTTTTTTCTTCTCTCTCCACACTCACTTTCTTAAAAATCTCATCTGTTTCCTGGGCTGTAAATGCCACCTCTAATCTGACAACTCATAAATGTGTTTCTCCAACTCAAGCCTCTCTCTTGAACTCCTGACTCACATATCTAACTATCTAGTCAACATCTCCACTTGAATATCTACTGGATATCTCAAACTGAATAGATCTCATACAGAATTCCAGATCTTACTTTTCTAACCTACCTCATCTGCAGCTTTCATGGCAACTGCATCCTTTCATCTGCTCAGGTCGAAAGTCTTAGAGTTAGCTATGAATCCTCTCTCTCTCTCACACACACACACACACACATCTCACATCCAGTCTGCCAGGAGTTCCTATTGGGTTCTCCCTTCAAATATATGCAGTATCTGACCACCCACCACTTCCATGGTTACTGCCCTGTTTTGAACCACCATTCTCTCTCACCTGGCCTAACCCAATAACTTCCTCCCTATCTCTCTTCCTCTAACTTAAACTCCATAGAGCATTCTCAAAACAGCAGCCAGCAAGCTTTATAAATGTAAGACAGCTGCTATCATTCGTCTGTTCAAAGTCCTGCAATAACTTCCCATTTTACTCAGAACGAAAGCCAAAATTCTTACAAGAGGCTCAACATTGCCTCTTTTAAGACTGAAGTGTGCTGAATGACCCCAGAGAAAAGGGTGACCACAGCAGATGCAGGAGCCAAAGCGGAAGGTCAGGCAAGGGAGTAGGACATGGGAGCAGGACAAGCAGAACCAGATCTGGGTAGAGTGAAGGCATCGGGCCAGCAGCAGCCCATGTGGGGGTGCCTAGCAGGGGACCTAGAGGCAGAAGCAGCAGACTGGAGGACAGGGAATGGGGGACCACATGAAGCAGCTATGGCAGGCAGAGAGGGTAAGCAGTGGCCGCTGTGTGAACACTGGCTTAGGTGGAGCCCTGAGCCAAGCTCAGAGGAGAGCAGCAGCCTGGTTGAAATTGAAGTGGTGGCACAGAGCCAGGGGAAGCCCAGAGCAAAGCAAAGGAATATCACACACTGTGGCTTCTCTTGATTGATGACACTATGTAACAACCTCTAAAAACCCTGAAGAGGTGTGCATAGGAGAGAACCTTGAAAGAGGTCTAGAGTTTTACAGTTATTTGTGTGAGAGCTTTCAAACTAATAGAATTTCTGGCCTAAATATTTAGGTGACTTTATGTGTACCCACAAGCCAGCAAGTTATAGGGACATTCAGAACTACATATTTGTTTATGACTGTCCTAAAAGAAACTGTCTCATGCAGTAGCAAGGTCAAGGTTTCTGCAAAACAAACACAGAGGCTAATCTTGTGGGTGATTGAATTACAAGGCAATTTGAATTTACAACCCCACAGGATCACTTTTGTTCAAGTACAACATTGATTGGGAAGAAGTGGGACTTTGGAAAGTGGTATGAGGAGTCTATAGAAAGATTTGAATGAAGCTTGGTCATTGACCTCTATGTTCTGCCAAGGCTCCTTTGCTTGCCCTTCTTCCCTGCCTGAGAAAGTCAGTCTCCCCTTGGATGAAGAACCTGAGAGAGTGACTTTGTAAGAGACAAATCCTCCTCAGGACCTATCCCTGCCATCTCTCATTGTTTCTAGACCTACAACCAGATTTAAATCCCAGAGGGCCTCAGGAGGTCAGTTACCAAGTGTCACCTATGAGAAGGAGCTAAACACACCAAAAAAAAAAAAAAAAAAGTAAGATCTTACCAACTGTGATAGATAAAAATGTGTGGAGCATGTTTGGTCTCCCAAGAGTGTTGGATCAGGGTGGAAGGAATTTAAAATAGGATCAGGTCAAATTTATTGATATGGGTACATGAAGCAGAGATTCTTGATTTGATGTGTTAGCTCAAGAAACTGAAAGTGGCTTTAACCATTTCCTTGACTGTTCACTGAAACCTGGAACCAAAGGATAATAGGTCCTGGGGTAGCAAGGATCAACTGGCCCTGTTTAATTGCCAAAGATAAGATGGGTATGGTTGACACAACTGGTGGCGAAGCGAAGTAGTAGCCAGAAAGGATTGACTTGCAGAAATTTTTGTTGTTAGCTAATTGCTCATGGTTGTCTCAAGTCTGAATTAGGTGGACAGTCTACTGAAATCTCACTTTAGTATAGCAATTTAGTATCATTTATATGTAGTATGATTTGAATAAGCAGGAAAGCTCTAGGTTTGATAAGCAGAAGTCTGACTTTAATTACACAACAGTCTTGGCCCTTTAACCAATTTCTACACTTGAACCAATTCACAAATTTGGAGACCCTTGAATAAAGAGGAGGCCAAGTTCCTGAAGGAACAATCCTGATACACAGCCAAAAGTTTATGTCATAAATCTCCTTCCTCACCTTCCCTAAAGGGGCCTGCAGTCATTCATTTACCAGGGTGATATGCACTGGGGAAGGTGGAATAGCCAAACTTTGTAGAGATTACAGAACACTGGCTTTAAACTGGCACTAATTCCTAGAGGGCCAAATCACTGCTATGGTCCACCAGCCAGAATAGGGGCATATGAATGAAGGTCAGGTGATTATTGAAGTTTTGGCTATGATCGGCTTCAAAGCAAGTAGAGTAGGTTGTTGAACTCACCCTGTGGTGATTTTTCCAATTCTGGCATGTGTAGTTGGAATATACTTACTCAGAAGCTAGCAGTACCCCTGCATTGGTTTCCTTACTCTTGGAGTGAAGGTTATTATAGTAGAAAGGCCAAATGAAAGCTACCACAACTGCCTCTACTTACCAAATAAATGCTCTTACTGGTTTGCTTCCCTGATCAAACCCTAACTCATGCAATTACTAAGTAAGACTATTTTAGAGCTTATCTGAGTTACTAACATGATTCTAGCTATATATAGTTAGGCATAAATATAAAATAAAGAAGACTGACGACTTGCTCAGTTTAGCAGCTGGCCAGTCCAGAGGGAACACCATCGCATTGTTAATATTCATGACATTTTAAAAGAAATTACAAGGCTGGGTGATGACTCACGCCTGTAATCTTAGCACTTTGGGAGGCCAAATTGGGAGGATCACTTGAACCCAGGAGTTCAAGTTTACAGTAAGCCATGATCATGCCCATGCACGCCAGCAGCCTAGGAGACAGAGTATAAAGCCCTGTCTCTAAAATAATAATAATAATTATTACAAGATGCAGTCTTATAAAGAAGAAAGACTTTACATCTCTTAAATCTCAATTATGTATATTGTTGGCCGTGTGCAGTGGCTCACGCCTGTAATCTCAGCACTTTGGGAGGCTGAGGCGGGTGGATCACTTGAGGTCAGGAGTTCTAGACCGCCCTGGCCAACATGGTGAAACCCCATCTCTACTAAAATACAAACTAATAAATAAATAAATTCTGTATTTGGTAGATCATGATTCAATGTCAGATTGAGTGGATTTGTTTTATAAAACTAAAATTGAACATTAATTTATAGAATTTTATTTTATTTTTGACTTATATTTAAGTATCCTTTGGCAACATTTCTTACCAAGTATAAAAGTGAAAAGTTCTGTTTATTTGCGTTACTGAAATCCAGTGGCTTTCAAATATGGGATAGTTAAATAATTTCCAGAATTCTAGAATTGGAGGTGATACAAAGAAGTTTGAAAAAGGAAATGTGGCTGGCTGCAGTGGCTCACGCCTGTAATCCGAGCACTGTGGGAGGCCAACGTGGGCAGAACACTTGAGTTCAGGAGTTTGAGACTTGCCTGGGCAACATGGCAAAATCCTATATCTACAAAAAAATACAAAAATCATCTGGGGACTGGGCGTAGTGGCTCATGCCTGTAATTCCAGCACTTTGGGAGGCCAAGGCAGGTGGATCACTTGAGGTCAGGAGTTAGAGACCAGTGTCCATGGTTAGTAGTGACCATGGTGAAACTCTGTCTCTACTAAAAATACAAAAAAT